AATTATGGCGTTTAAAATGTTACTTTTGATCATCACGTTCAGGAAGTTAGACACTGATAATGTGTGCAATTAATTTAAAACTTACACCCAAAATGAAACCAACTGGACGTATAAGTGTTGCCTATTGGAAAGGAGAATTCGGTAAACACATACTCTCTGGGCCTGATACAGAATCATGGGTGTTGAATGAATCAAGATTTGTGTTTATTCGCTTAGAAACGCAATGCTAAACCGCAAAAACACATTTTGCTTAAATTTAAAAATCGTTTCAATTAGTGCTTGCAGTGCTTGGTAACTGGTTACAATATATGTATGAATTTCCACCTTACTGATTCTCATAAGATGATAATGTCCTGAGTCTGTTGGCTGCAGGAACAAAGTGTTAGAGATTTTTATGTGGAATTGGCAAATACAGTCTCTCAACTGATAGCTGCTCAAAGATGGCAAGTTATTGGTATACCACTGCCAACATTAAATCTGCCAATACAACATGCAGATACCACTGCCAACACTGCATCTGTCAATGCTACAAGCAGATACAACTGCCAACACTGAATCTGTCAATACAACATGCAGATACAACTGCCAACACTGCATCTGTCAATACAACATGCAGATACAACTGCCAACACTGAATCTGTCAATACAACATGCAGATACAACTGCCAACACTGCATCTGTCAATACAACATGCAGATACAACTGCCAACACTGAATCTGTCAATACAACATGCAGATACCACTGCCAACACTGCATCTGTCAATACAACATGCAGATACAACTGCCAACACTGAATCTGTCAATACAACATGCAGATACAACTGCCAACGCTACATCTGTCAATACAACATGCAGATACAACTGCCAACACTGAATCTGTCAATACAACATGCAGATACCACTGCCAACACTGCATCTGTCAATACAACATGCAGATACAACTGCCAACACTGAATCTGTCAATACAACATACAGATACAACTGCCAACACTGCATCTGTCAATACAACATACAGATACAACTGCCAACTGTCTGCATCTGTCAATACAACATGTCAGATACCACAACATTGCAGGTGTCAATGCAACATACAGAACTGCCAACACTGAATCTGTACAAATGCAGATACCACAACATACAACAGACTGCCAACATTGCTGTCAATACAACATGCAGATACCACTGCCAACACTGCATCTGTCAATACAACATGCAGATACAACTGCCAACACTGCATCTGTCAATACAACATACAGATACAACTGCCAACACTGCATCTGCCAATACAACATACAGATACAACTGCCAACACTGCATCTGTCAATACAACATGCAGATACAACTGCCAACACTGCATCTGTCAATACAACATGCAGATACAACTGCCAACACTGAATCTGTCAATACAACATACAGATACAACTGCCAACACTGAATCTGTCAATACAACATACAGATACAACTGCCAACACTGAATCTGTCAATACAACATACAGATACACTGCCAACACTGCATCTGTCAATACAACATACAGATACAACTGCCAACACTGCATCTGTCAATACAACATGCAGATACAACTGCCAACACTGCATCTGTCAATGCAACATGCAGATACCACTGCCAACACTGAATCTGTCAATACAACATGCAGATACAACTGCCATCACTGCAGCTGCCAATACAACATGCAGATACCACTGCCAACATTGCAGGTGTCAATACAACATACAGATACCACTGCCAACACTGAATCTGTCAATACAACATACAGATACCACTGCCAACACTGCATCTGTCAATACAACATGCAGATACAACTGCCAACACTGAATCTGTCAATACAACATGCAGATACAACTGCCAACACTGCATCTGCCAATACAACATGCAGATACAACTGCCAACACTGCATCTGTCAATACAACATACAGATACAACTGCCAACACTGAATCTGTCAATACAACATACAGATACAACTGCCAACACTGCATCTGTCAATACAACATGCAGATACAACTGCCAACACTGAATCTGTCAATACAACATACAGATACAACTGCCAACACTGCATCTGTCAATACAACATGCAGATACCACTGCCAACATTGCATCTGTCAATACAACAAGCAGATACCACTGCCATCACTGCAGCTGCCAATACAACATGCAGATACCACTGCCGTCATTGCAGCTGCCAATACAACATGCAGATATAACTGCCAACATTGCAGCTGCCAATACAACAATCCGATACCACTGCCATCACTGCAGCTGCCAATACAACATGCAGATACCACTGCCACCACTGCAGCTGCCAATACAACATGGAGATACCACCGCCAACACTGCAGCTTCCAATACAACATGCAGATACCACTGCCATCGCTGCAGGTGTCAATATACAACAATGCAGACACCATCAACACAACAACGACCAAATATATCAAATCACAGCATGCATATATTTCAATGCAAAAAGGCATTATAGGCTGATTGGTACACAGCCGCACCTGTCTGTATAAACCCACAACCTGCAAATTATACACGTGACTAGACTAAAAAAACTGCAAGAAAAAACATAAACAGTGTCCAAAGCTAGCACTTTTAATAGCGGTCATATACGTACATACAATTGCATGTTGATACTCTTGGGGTACATCATCATCGAGGTTATGCACCTACGTCTCATACACTTACCAGTATGAGGAACGTTACATTGAAACACATATTTTAAACAGTCAACTCTTTTTGAGTTACGAATGTCTCGAGAACACCGTGGTTGTTATTTTAGCAATATGCAGTGTAACGTTTACCTGTAAGGTATTGGCTTATTGTATTATACACATTATTTATAGCATTAGGAAAGAAACATTCATTGTTAGGTGTGCCCAAAAATGTATAGAATTAGTTTTTACTACTATTCAACATTAACCGTGGATTTTTTATATAAACTCTGTCAAAAAAGAAACGCAACCCCTGTCCTCAGATATGAAAAATTCGTTTGAATGAAGTTATTGCTTCCAAACTAAATTTTATTCGAATGTATTGAAATGATACACGTCCGTATTATATTCATTCATTTGTCGCCGAAAAGCTGTGTTAAAATGCCACGATTGAGTGCTGCCGACCGAAATATCGCCATTGGTCGTGTTCAAGCCGGAGAAAGTTTTGGAACTGTTGCACGGCACCTAAATGTTCACAAAACAACGATATCCCGACTTTGGAGCCGCTACAACAACTTCAATTTGACCAACGATCGCCCGAGAAGTGGAAGGCCAAGAATCACGACCCCCCTTCAAGATCGGTACATCCGGGTCCATCACCTGCGTAATCGGCATGCCCTACCAACCGTGACTGCCACACAAATACCAGGTTTGAGGAGAGTGTCAGCTCAAACGATTAGGAACCGTCTGAAAGAAGCGGGTTTACGTGCCTGTAGACCAGTTGTTGGACCTGTACTACGCCCCCTACATCGACGCCGACGACTCAGGTGGTGCAACAACGTAAGGATACGGACTTTACAAAACTGGAGGCGAATCTGGTTTTCTGATGAATCACGTTTTCTTTTGCAACGTCACGACGGAAGACAGCGTCTGTATAGGAGACGTCATAAACGTTTTGCGCCCATCTGCGTCCGACAGGTGGACAGATTTGGCGGAGAAAAGCGTCATGGTTCGGGGAACCATCTCATACAACCAGAAATTAGACTTGGTGATCGTTCCAGGGAACCTGACAGCCCAACGTTACATCAACCACGTGTTAGAGCTTCCCCTTCTCCCGATTATTGACCAACAGACACAGATTTTTCAACGGGACAACGCCCGGCCTCATACTGCACGTGCAACAACTTTCTGCAGAATTCCAACGTCAATGTCTTGCCATGACCCTCTAAATCACCAGACCTCAACCCTATTGAACACCTGTGGGATACTCTGGATCGACGCGTCCGTCAACGTCAGCCGCCGCCACAGACGCTGCAACAGCTCGCCGTTGCACTGCAGGAGGAGTGGAGAGCCATTCCCCAGGAAAGAATCCGGCGTCTTATCCGTTCTTGTCCAAGGAGATGCCGTGCAGTGATTGCAGCGCGTGGTGCTCATACGAGATACTGAGAAAGACGCCCCCCTGGTGACAAACTGGTGTCTGTGAGATGACTTTTGAAATGACAATTTTAAACATGCCCATCTGGGTTATTATTCTGCCAAATTTCAGACTTCTGTCTTAAATAATAAAAATGCCGTGTCGTCCTAAAACTTCAGATCAAAATCTCTAAAATACAGGGGTTGCGTTTCTTTTTTGACAGAGTTTATGTAGCATCCATGAGGTCAAAACATACCGTCATAACGAGTATACCTCTAACACTGACGTAACATATTCTACATCACTGCAGATATCATTGTTGCCTCGATACAGGCATAACCATTCACATAATATGAAAAGACGTCACAATCTTTCACAATTTTTGAATTTAATGCCCATAATTATCTCTTAAGCAGGCATTAATTCATCCGATTTGTGTCCTGTCATGTCGAATAACGAATAACACACCAGTTGCTGTTGTTTTAAAAGAAATGTTGGTTACCGAATGTTGGCTGAATGGGGATTCAGGTTTAGAAACAGTCTCCAGCAAACATTTCGTAAGAGGCGACTTAATGGATCGAATGATTACTCCGGGTCTGGGTTCATTTTGTGTCATTATGACCCGATGAATTAGATCGTTGCTCATAACACCAACCACTCGGTTGTCTGGTCCAGATTCGTTTATATACAGGCTACAGCTAGAATAGTTCTACACGCTACATTTCGTGTTAAAGGGGTTTCACCGCACATGAAGCCATAATGTTATTCTATGCGAACAAAAATGTAACCACATTCAGTATACACAATGTATAACACGTCTTACTTTCCATGTTTCATACACACACATCCTGGTGCCTTTAAAAAGTTGCACACGTGTTTTGTTGCAGCTGTTGAAACACTACAGACAGCTTGATAACTTATTGCACCCGGTCGGTGACCCTGAAGGTCAACACAGTGCTACGTGTTGGAGTTGAGGGCATCTGGCCAGAGCTGGCAGACTGTCTCCGAAGATTGATAAATCGCTCCCACAGAGAATGCCATACCCTTTTTGTAAACACAAACGCTATACATATAAACATGCCCTGAAGAGTGTTGAAGATTATATAAATGTACCACATAACGGTGTAAGGGAACAGCGAGGCCAGAAAGCCTAACACCCACGTCAATCCCATTATAACAGACAGTTTAACGTAAATACCGAATTGGTTGCTGTCACCTTTGCCCAAATAGGCGGCAGACTTCCGCTTAGCATCGTGGATATTCTTGGCAGCAATGGAGAAAAATACAAAGTTAAGACAAATGAGAAGAAGTAATGGCGAAGCAAAGAACACAAGCAGGCCTCGTTTGTTTGTTATCCAACATAACCCACGTCCGTAATTGGGCTTAAATTGACTTTCAGAGACCACGTTGTCGACTGTTACGGCTGCCGTTACAAGAACGAGGGCAACTCCCCTGACATAAACGTTGTAAAATAGGAATCTCTTCGACGACTTCCCACCATCGCCCGCCTTGACAAAACTCTTGGAGAATGTGAACCACACGTCTGCCGCCATTACGTTCATCCACAAGAATGCGTCCAGGAACAGATAGTGCATTAATGCCGCCATAACTTTACACAAAGTTGGAAGACTTTCTGCCCGTGGAGCGAAGAGGACAGTTAAATTGGCAAAGAACAAGGACGTGGTTAGAGAGAGAATGATTTTCCCAGGAATATTTCTCAGAGTTCTAATGAGGGCATATATCACCATGGTAATCATCAGTCCTAATAAGGAAATAAATAATCCTATTGATGTGACGATAGCTGTTGTCGGAGAGAAATTAAATTCCGTCTTTTCATCGATGAAAGTTAATATTTCTGTAAAATTTTGGGTTAAATTTGTACAGACATAGGCGTATTTTCCATCATAATAGTATTGCGACTGGTCGAATATATATCCAGATACAGTTTCTAATGTACCATCCCTTGAAATGACAAACTCGCTTCCATTTAATCTTAGCTGTGAACAATCACCGCTGCTCAAACTACGGGTAATATTCGAGACATGTGAAATTAATTTTGGGTGTGAGAAAACACCAGTATATACTTTACGACAGCTTCGAATGAATGGATCGTACACCTGGAACCTGGAACACGTATGTGTCATGTTTAATTGCTGTTGGACCTTCCGTAGTCTGGAGCCAACGCGAGTAGATCCAGTTTGGGTATTCAGGTCAAACAGAATTGAAAAAGAGTAAAATCCTCTTGATCGAACACGCTTTCCAAAAGGTCTCACACCATGGTTTAAGCAGGATGGGTTGTGGTAGTTACATATAGCACACTCGACATTATAAAACGCCAAACCTGTTTCAGAAAACGTCAACTGCATATTCATGCTCGACATACACCTTGATATTATATCCGTGTCATTGAAACTTGGAGCACAACTTTTTATGACATCCGGTTTACATGGTCGGTATTTTCTATCTTCGTCTGCAGGAAGAATTTGAAGATGACAGTTTTGGTTATCTAGGATTTCTTCCATCATGGATGCAGCAGTAAAACCTAAGGGTTTCATTGAATGACAGTCTACAGCGGGTCGCCACAACTGATAGGGTTCGTCATGACACACAGCGCAGTACAAGTTGCGGTATACAAGACCGGTACGATTCCCTGTAACTGGTAGTCGCAGCATCAGATCGCTGACATTTTCAAACTTGCATAATTCCTCAGTTTCAGATCCGAACCAACTTTGGGGACAACTGGCCACAGCTAAAAACCCGTCCTCATTGGCCACAGCGGAATCTTCGATACACTGGAAGTGGGATTTCATACCACTAAGTGTTGCTGCTTCATCCTCATCTGAGGTTGAATTATAATCCATGCAACAATCTTCAACAATTCCACAATATTGGTCACAGGCACACCCCATATCTCTGAAGTATCCTCTGATTTTGGATGGTTTCCAGTACATGTTCTGTTGACACGACCAAGTGGAGCAGGATAGGTTTGGAGAGTACGTGCCTTGGTTTGTCTGCTCGGTTCCTAATATCCCTTGATCCAAGGTGATCAACACAATCTTGCTTAAGAAAATAATGAAAAACAAAAGTTTGCTTCCGAAAACGTTGGGTACGTTCTTCATGGTGTATCCAACAGCGAGTCTTTCGATACACTGCTGGACTGGTTCAGACCGTCTTCAATTGCAACAGGGCTTTACACGTCACAGGCGCTCATTGAAAATGGTCTGGTATCCTAAACAGTTTACATTGAGTGCCAGACACACGTCTCAGAGGCATTCACACGGTATCAGACAGGGACAAGAACGCATAATACAGTGCTAAGGTTGAATCACAATATCCTGTGCAAAGATATACACTTGGATTAGGTCTTCCCGGTCATTCAGTGAATTGGATTAAAACAATATGCATGATGTATGCTTTAAGTGAAGAATGTTATCAGGCGGTTAAAGTTTTGTTAGCATGACAGCATTATTAAACATTGAGTCTGGATAAAATCGTACCCGTGAGTTTAAGCCATGAGAGATGTCGAATGGATGTGACCAAATCTGGTGGAATATTTCTAAATGCTTGACAAATCATATATAAGTGGAAACATCATCAAACATATATTATGTATATAAACTTTGTTGGGTGGTGATTGAACGTATAAATGCATGAAGCAGCCTTTCATTTTTTGATAAGGGTTTTCTTTCCTGTAAACACCAGCCTGTGTATATTCGACGAGATTATAAACGTACATAGGTGAGGATAAACACTACCAAGCGGCCAATGTCATGTTTACAAGGAGCGTCTTCTGTTACATAGAGGAATGCGAATCTTGTCGGTTATCTTACATCGATTAGACGTATTGATTATCTAAATTGGAGGTAGCTCTTTGGTTAAGACAGGCGTTACATCCGGGTTAGAAAATTGATCTTCAGCAACCCATGCTTGTGGTAAGAGGCGACTAACGGGATCGGGTGGTCAGACTTGCTGACATGGTTGAGGCATATTATTGTATCATTATTGAGTAGATCGATGCCGATGATGTCAATCACTTGGTTGTAAGGCCCAGACTCTATTATCTATAGACCACCGTCATATAGCTGGAATATTGTCCAATACACAAAATAGAAATAAAATGGCTAACAGCGGCCCGTAAGCAACTGGCCAAGGGTCATGCCAAGGTTCCACATGGGTCCCAGCAAATGTTTCCTATAGTGTATTCGGGTTAGCACGCGTGTGCTTTCGGAAAAGATATTAGAGTATTGAAACATGTAATAGGCGAGCACTACTGAGCAAAATACCCATACCGTGAAATCAACAAGCGATATAATGACATTGTCTTCATCGTGTAGATATTCTTAAATTATGACGTCACAAACGGTTCCTAAAGATTTCAAGTTTCCTGGCGTCAAAGGGTTAGTGCAGAGGCAGTCAGACAGTGACAACAGACAATACACTTTCAACAGACACTTGTGTTTCAGTTTCAGCAGTAACCAAAGAACCACGCGGGCTAAACGACAAATATATCCTAATATAGTGTTAATGATCACCTTTCGCGGCGACCAATCGGACCGCCGACTGGAGTGTGACTAGAGTCAGATCGGGGCATCATGTTTGCTTAGATTCTGCCTGGTCATTACGTTGGTAGTTTCTGGGTGAAATAAAGTCAAATAAAATATACGTAACACACACCGACAGTGTGATACAGTACAAGATGTGTCACACACACGGGCAGAGTCAGTACAAGATGTGTAACACACCGACAGAGTGATACAGTACAAGATTTGTCACACACACTGACAGAGTGATACAGTACGAGATGTGTCACACACACGGGCAGAGTGATACAGTACAACATGTGTCACACACACGGACAGAGTGATACAGTACAAGATGTGTCACACACACGGGCAGAGTCATACAGTACAAGATGTATCACACACACTGACAGAGTGATACAGTACGAGATGTGTCACACACACGGGCAGAGTGATACAGTACAACATGTGTCACAGACACCGACAGAGTGATACAGTTCAAGATGTGTCACACACACTGACAGAATGATACAGTACGAGATGTGTCACACACACGGGCAGAGTGATACAGTACAACATGTGTCACAGACACCGACAGAGTGATACAGTTCAAGATGTGTCACACACCGACAGAGTGATACAGTACAAGATGTGTCACACACACGGACAGAGTGATACAGTACAAGATGTATCACACACACCGACAGAGTGAAACAGTACAAGATGTGTCACACACACGGGCAGAGTGATACAATACAAGATGTGTCACAGACACCGACAGAGTGATACAGTACAAGATGTGGCACATACACTGACAGAGTGATACAGTACAAGATGTGTCACACACACGGACAGAGTGATACAGTACAAGTTGTGTCACAGACACCGACAGAGTGATACAGTACAAGATGTGTCACACACACTGACAGAGGGATACAGTACAAGATGTGTCACACACACTGACAGAGTGATACAGTACAAGATGTGTCACAGACACCGACAGAGTGATACAGTACAAGATGTGTCACACACATTGACAGAGTGATACAGTACAAGATGTGGCACAGACACCGACAGAGTGATACAGTACAACATGTGTCACACACACCGACAGAGTGATACAGTACAAGATGTGTCACACACACCGACAGAGTGATACAGTACAAGATGTGTCACACACACGGGCAGAGTGATACAGTACAAGATGTGTCACACACACGGGCAGAGCGATACAGTACAAGATGTGTCACACACCGACAGAGTGATACAGTACAAGATGTGTCACACACACCGACAGAGTGATACAATACAAGATGTGTCACACACACGGACAGAGTGATACAATACAAGATGTGTCACACAGCGACAGAGTGATACAGTACAAGATGTGTCACAGACACCGACAGAGTGAAACAATACAAGATGTGTCACACACACAGACAGAGTGATACAATACAAGATGTGTCACACACCGACAGAGTGATACAGTACAAAATGTGTCACAGACACCGACAGAGTGATACAGTACAAGATGTGTCACAGACACGGACAGAGTGATACAGTACAAGATGTGTCACACACACGGACAGAGTGATACAGTACAAGATGTGTCACATACACTGACAGAGTGATACAATGCAAGATGTGTCACACACCGACAGAGTGATACAGTACAGGATGTGTCACACACACCGACAGAGTGATACAGTACAAGATGTATCACAGACACCGACAGAGTGATACAATACAAGATGTGTCACAGACACCGACAGAGTGATACAGTACAAGATGTGTCAGACACCGACAGAGTGATACAGTTCAAGATGTGTCACACACACGGACAGAGTCATACAGTACAAGATGTGCCACACACACTGACAGAGTGATACAGTACAAGATGTGCCACACACACTGACAGAGTGATACATTACAAGATGTGTCACACACCGACAGAGTGATACAGTACAAGATGTGTCACACACACGGGCAGAGTGATACAGTACAAGATGTGTCACACACACGGGCAGAGTCATACGGTACAAGATGTATCACACACACTGACAGAGTGATACAGTACGAGATGTGTCACACACACGGGCAGAGTGATACAGTACAACATGTGTCACAGACACCGACAGAGTGATACAGTTCAAGATGTGTCACACACACTTACAGAATGATACAGTACGAGATGTGTCACACACACGGGCAGAGTGATACAGTACAACATGTGTCACAGACACCGACAGAGTGATACAGTTCAAGATGTGTCACACACCGACAGAGTGATACAGTACAAGATGTGTCACACACACGGACAGAGTGATACAGTACAAGATGTATCACACACACCGACAGAGTGAAACAGTACAAGATGTGTCACACACACGGGCAGAGTGATACAATACAAGATGTGTCACAGACACCGACAGAGTGATACAGTACAAGATGTGGCACATACACTGACAGAGTGATACAGTACAAGATGTGTCACACACACGGACAGAGTGATACAGTACAAGTTGTGTCACAGACACCGACAGAGTGATACAGTACAAGATGTGTCACACACACTGACAGAGGGATACAGTACAAGATGTGTCACACACACCGACAGAGTGATACAGTACAAGATGTGTCACAAGACACCGACAGAGTGATACAGTACAAGATGTGTCACACACATTGACAGAGTGATGCAGTACAAGATGTGGCACAGACACCGACAGAGTGATACAGTACAACATGTGTCACACACACCGACAGAGTGATACAGTACAAGATGTGTCACACACACCGACAGAGTGATACAGTACAAGATGTGTCACACACACGGGCAGAGTGATACAGTACAAGATGTGTCACACACACGGGCAGAGCGATACAGTACAAGATGTGTCACACACCGACAGAGTGATACAGTACAAGATGTGTCACACACACCGACAGAGTGATACAATACAAGATGTGTCACACACACGGGCAGAGTGATACAATACAAGATGTGTCACACAGCGACAGAGTGATACAGTACAAGATGTGTCACAGACATCGACAGAGTGATACAATACAAGATGTGTCACACACACAGACAGAGTGATACAATACAAGATGTGTCACACACCGACAGAGTGATACAGTACAAAATGTGTCACAGACACCGACAGAGTGATACAGTACAAGATGTGTCACAGACACGGACAGAGTGATACATTACAAGATGTGTCACACACACGGACAGAGTGATACAGTACAAGATGTGTCACAGACACGGACAGAGTGATACAGAACAAGATGTGTCACAGACACCGACAGAGTGATACAGTACAAGATGTGTCACAGACACCGACAGAGTGATACAGTACAAGATTTGTCACACACACCGACAG